ACGTAAAAATTTTTTTACAGTATCATGTTCAGCTTCATTACAATCCATTTTATCTAGTAAAAATTCAAGTAACGTATTATAATTAATTCGTAATGAATCAGTTTGATGTTTGATAATTAATTCAGAATCATTAAATATATTTATATCAAAATTGGTTTGTCGATTATCTCTGTTAAAATCAGCTACTTCCCATGGTATACTTTGACCTTGTGAACGTAATAAACATGCATTCATTATTGATTTTGAATAATAACAATCAGGTACATGTTGATTAATCATCATAGTTCTATTTTCTTTGACAAATGGTGTTAATAATTCAGGTATTGCACGAAGTTTTTTTGTTTCAATTCTATCATTTTCCAGACATTCAATATGATTTTCTAAACCTTCAATACGATTTTCTAAATGTACAATATCATTTTTCATTGTTTCATTATTTTTTATCAAATCAATAAAAATAGTTTTAATTTCATTAATGAAACGATCTAATTGTGAACCTTGTTCATGAGTAATTGGATAATGTTGATTGATAAAAAACAAAATTTCATTAAGTAGATAATGAATACGTTGATTAACCCTTTCAATCCCGTCATTTTATTGCGTTCTGCACGAACATGGAAAAATATAGTTTAATCTCTCTCTCTTGCGTTCAGCTATCACAATCATATGTTTTCGAATCCTAGATTTATTATTCGTATCCATACGAAGTGATTTTCATTTGAACATATTATATGATATTCGTCGTCTAAGAAGACGAAAGAACGCAAAATATTTCTTTTTCGTTCTGCATGTGATCTCGTAGATGCCATGCGGGATTGAAAGGGTTAATAGATAATAATGGTTCATTTATTCCTTGATCAAATTTATCATCTGATATATCTTCAATTGCTTTAATAATTTCATTATAAGCTGGACATTCTTTTGATAAATATAACGGCATAATAGAAATAATTCTTTGTTTGGTTTCAGGTGACATTCTGATGAAATTAAAAAATCTAAAATATAGAAGTGTGGTTAAAATGACACCAACAATATATAAGAGGATAACAAGAAAATGATATAAATATAAAATAGAGCATACAAGAAGTATTTCCTTTTTACCCTTGAAAAAATATATCTTATTTAAATCTCTTTAAAAAAATATCAGTAGCATAGACAAGAAAGTTTTACAGAGGAACAAGTGTGTTAAAAAAATTAGAAGTCTTGTTGACGGTTCGATCAAAATTGACCTTCTTCAGAACTTTTGATGTTTCATACAATTGATGTTTATTTGACTATATATAAATTCTTTTGTTTTTTTTTTCTTACTCTTTGATGATAGTCGTACGGATGAGGAAGCCTAGGTGTCCTACCAGTATTACCGTCTTGTTCTATCGGTACCACTGTCATCAAAGAGTACGAAAAGAAAAAACAAAAGAATTTATATGAGTGAATTGCAACTTTTCGGTACAATTGACGAGAAAAAATGAAAAGGAACCTAAGCAAGTTTTGAGTAGTGCGTTTTATCAGACTCTATGCCTGTAGTACAGTCCTGGACAAAAGTCTCGCAGCTAGGCGAAACCCATCGATATAAGGATTGTTTACCTTGAAACTTCTACCATAGGAAGAACTTAATGAGCCCTGATCGCAGACAAAAGCTTAAGTTCTAATTCCTTACCCAGACTGAGATCTAAGACTAACATCAACGTTATTTTCCTATTGTATTATTTCGCGCTAGGAAGAAGATACAATGTTGTTTGACCCACTGTTGGAAAACCCAGCTCTTCCTCTCTCTACAATTAAATATTCATCATAAATATGCATGTCTTTGTTAAGTTATGAATTATTCTCTGTCTACTCATGGAACTGACATATCACAATCTCACCAGTTTTTTGACTCGAATCTCCAGCTAGACTCAATCTTTTGATTTGAAAAT